TATCACTCTCACACACGTGCTTAGTATTGACCAGTTGGTACTGAATTATTGGTCTGATGAAGTCTCTTTTTGTCCTGTGCCTGTGATTTTGATAGCCCCATGTTGCCCTTGATAGGCTCTCCTGCTCCAGGCCCATGGTTTCACATCCTCCAAATCTGCCGGTTAATGGACTAACCTTAGCTTGACCTCCCTCTTTCACTGCCCCCAGGCAGGGTATTGGTTTTGGAAGGATGAACCTGTGTACGATAATTAACATTTGTGTATTCCCTTACAGTTAACGCTTAGCTTTCACATTCAGGATCTCAGCATATTCTTAGAAGAACTCTCAGGAAGTAGGGGAGGGTAAGTATTCTGTTACTACATCCATTTTCAGATTAGGGAATTAGAACCAAGATTATACCCATTTTACAGATTAGGACATAGGAACTGATAGGTATGCTTGATAACTAGAGTGACCAAGAATACATTCCAGTAATACCTGCTTAACTTTTGAAGGAGATTTTGAAGCACATAATAAGGTTATATTATTTTTGGCAACAATGAAACATTTTCTTCAATAAATTATTTACTATACATACCAAGTATATAAGCCTATGAAATGAGAGCGTTACTTGTTTTTTTTTGAGCCAAGCTTGACTACAGGTTTTATCTTCTTACTTCACCCCATTTGCTCCTTAAAGTTTAGCAACCCACCTTTCACATATCCCCACTGAACATTCTTGCTAAGTAATCCAGTGACTTGAGTTTCCATGTCCAGAGGGAACTGGGGACCTTGTCACCTTCAGCAGCATTTGGCCCTGGTGGCCCCTCTGACTCTTGAGTTCTTCCTGCCTCTGCTTTCCTCTTATACGCAGACTCCCTGCCTCCTCCATTGGCCATTTCTGGTCTTTCTGAAGATTTTTCTAATTTTGCCTGATCCTTTGATTTTGTTCTTACCCAGGGTCCCCTTCTTGGTTCTCTGTAATTTAGCTGTCCATGCCATCTGGCCGGGTCATATCTACCAGCTCCTTTCTCCTTTTTAAGCTCCAAAGCCATGTGTCAAAGCATCTACCTGACATTTCCCCCTGGGGAGTTGTTGCATGAGTCAGCACACAAACTGAACCGATGACTTCACTTGACCGAACCTGCTCCCCTGCTCATTTTCCTAAATATTCATTTTGTTACAAAAACCAGAAATAGGGGTATCATATGTGACTATTTCCAATTTTTTTTAATCCTGGCATCAAATCAGTAAATCCAACAGTCTTCTAATAACTTTCCTGTCCATGCCTTCTTCTCCATCCCTCCTGCTGTGAAGCAAGTTCAGGTTGTCATTACCTACAACAGCTTCCTGATCAGCTTCTGTGTCTGGACATCCTCTGGTCTTTCCTCATGTGCCACCTGACAGATCTAAGCTTGAATGTCCTAAGATTATACCTGTGCTTAGCACACAAGGTTCCTTATGCTGTTACTTGGGCAGGCTTCTTTAATCTCAGCTCCCCACCCGTCCCCTCACACTTCATGCTCTGATTAAACCCAGCTCTCTAGAGTTGTCAGAACCATTTGTGCTTTCACATGTTGATGGCTGACAACCTCCTATGTTATCTGCCTGGGGAAACCAGGTAGAATCTCACAGGGAAGGTGGCTGTTGAGTTGAGCCTTGCAGGATCAGTAGGGATGTGGCCTGCAGGTGGGATCCAGAGGTTTTGATTTCAAAGGTTTGTACTTTCATGGGAGACAGCTCTATACACAATTGTAACACTTGGTGATGCACAGAATTAGAAGTACGTACAAACTGTAGTAGCACAAAGGAGGTCCTTGAGTATGGTAACATTATTTTAAGTCAACATAGGGAAAAGAAAAATGATACTGGCCATCTTAGTCCATTCAGGACGCTGTAACAAAATACAATAAACTGGGTGGCTTATAAGTGACAGAAACTTACTGATCACAGTTCTGGAGGCTGGGGGTCCAAGATCAAGGAGCTAGAAGATCTAGAATCTGATGAGGACCTGCTTCCTCGTTCACAGTCGCCTGCTGGCTCTGTCCTTACATGGTGGAAGGAACAAGTGGGCTCTCTGGGGTCTCTTTCATAAGGTCACTAATCTCATTTGTGAGGGCTCTACCCTCATGACTCGATTACCTCCCAACCCCTTCCCCCCTCCAAATACCATTGCAGTAGGGATTGACACATTCAGGCCACAGCACTGGCTCATTTGCATTAATAAAGCATCTAACTAAGCAAACCTCTCCCAGGCACAGGTGCCTTGTGCACAGCAAAATGAGTCTAAATGGAACAAATAAATGTACGAGGACATGGTGAAACAAAACTGCAGATGGAGGAGAGTGTATTGGAACTGCATCGTGAGATCTTCTATATTTGATTGCATTAAAATGGATCTCATTTGTCCTCTCCTGTTGGAGCTCCAGAAAACTCCGGTTGAGGCCTCCCCGGTATTTCTCTGCTCTGTGTCCTCGACTGCTCTTTTCACTTAATCCTGTGTTTTCAGTTGTTATCTTCAGTGGGTCACTCCCAGCTGGTACCTCCAGCCCTTCTGTTTGTTATTTTTTTAAGAGACAGAATCTCACTTTATCGCCCTGGGTAGAGTGCCGTGGCGTCACAGCTCACAACTCCTGGGCTTAGGCAATTCTCTTGCCTCAGCCTCCCGGGTAGCTGGGACTACAGGCACCCGCCACAACACCCAGCTTTTTGTTGTTGCAGTTTGGCCGGGATTGGGTTTAAACCTGCCACCCTCGATATATGGGGTGGGCGCCCTACCCACTGAGCCACAGGTGCCGCCTCCAGCTCTTCTGTTAATGCAGTTTCTCCTGAACACTGTTGTTTGAACAAGTCACAGCCATCTCCATTTGGTCACGTCCACAATGGAACTTGTCACCTTCCCTATGTCTTCTATTTTTTCCCAATAACCCTAGTTCTTCTTTTTGTGTCTTTCATTTCTGTAAATGTTACCCAGTTGCCAAATTAAGTAATGTGGGAGTCATCCTTGATTCCTCAATCCAGTCTGTGACCAAACTTTTCCAACTCTGCTTCCTAAATACAGCTCAGTTGTTTTCTCTGCCTTGCAGCTCTGCCTGGTGCAGGCCGCTGTCATCTCAGTCCTGCATTAGAACAGTGAACACCGGACTCCCTGTCTCTACCCTCGCTACTCCCACCAGCTCACATAGTCTCTGATGGCTCTGCAATCAAATCAGTCATTCTTCAAAAATGTAAATCAGATTGTGTCATCCACCCCTTGAAACCCACTAGTGCAATGTGATGCCCTGGATCGTATCTGGGAATAGGAAAAGGATATTAGTCGAAAAACTCATGGACTCTGAATGAATTCTGAAGTTCAGTTAATAGTCATGTTCCAGTGTTCTCAGTTTTGATAAATGTCCTGTGATTATGTAAAATGTCAGCATTGGTAGAAACGGGTTGAAGCATACAGGAACTTTCTGTTGTATGCTTGAAATGTTTTTGTAAATATAAAACTATCCCACAATTAAAAAAAAATTAGTAGCTTCTATTCTGCTAATGTTAGAGTTTAAAACCCTTAACGTTCCAGCTTTCTTTCTTTATCTTAGTGAGATAAGCCTTCTCAGTGTCTCCAGGTATGCATCTGGTAGTCAGTAGTTAATGAATGCTTGGTAATTATTGGCTGAGAATTAATGAATGTTACAACTTTAAATTAAAAGACTATAAATCGAGAAATGATAGAACTTGGGAATTTGTAAGCTCCCCTAGTGGGTTTTCAGCGGAAGTCAGGACAGCCCAGGTGATCCTTCACCTGTACGGCGAGCTTCCTTCCCATGCCCCCTTCACTGCCCTTCCCTGGACCACATCTCTGCCACCCTGTGCCCTTCTAGGCCCCTATTTTAGAATTGTGCACCAGCCCCCTCCCAGGTGTGGAGACCAGTCATCTGAAATGCCCCTCTATGTCAGCAGGAGAAAGAAAAGTGGTCTCCCCGCATCCTCACCCCTGTTTTTTTCTCACCCACTCTGCCCTGTCCCACCTCCCACAACTCTCATGGACCATTTAACAGTGGGTTTCTGCAAACAGTGCTGCTTCCTCTATAGTCTAACTCGCCAGAGTTATTCTAATAGCAGGAATTTCAAGCCAGCTAAGGAGAGCCACGTCAGGCTGCCAGATGGTGGGGAAGACAGGCCTGGGTGAGCAGCCTTAGGACTAAAGCAGGGTAGAGGGGATCAAGTGTTGGAATTACATTTGAGAAAAGGAGTCAAGTGAACCTCATTACCCTTTACAGAGCCCTGTTATAATAGCTCTCAGTTACTTGGACTTGGATTTAACCTTGGACACATCCTTTTCTTTTCATGCTTTTACCATCCCTGCCCCCTTGTTGTAGCCTTTCCCTTTCTAAGTCATCAACGCTTAAAAATATAATAATGAGAAATAACTATGACTAATTACCTTAGATTGTAAATTTAAGATGTGACAATCAGAATATTATTCTCGGTTTTTCAGAGGAGCAAACTTCCCAAGTTATAGGTGGCCAGTAATAAATAGGTAGACCTGAAATTTGAAGTTGGGGCTTTCTGCCTCCAATATTCTTGTCCTGCTATCCTGCAAGCAGCCTTGCAACTCTAGCTGGGCTAGAAAGTGAAGGGGGAGTATTAGAGTTTGAATCTTCTGGTTCTCTAGATACAGGTGTTCTCAAACTACGGCCCCCGGGCCATATGCAGCCCACCTAGAACATTTATCTGGCCAGCCGGGTGATTTTGCCACCACTGCCTGTTCTGCTTAGCAGCCGACTCATCCTGGGGCCCGCAGTCTGGCCCTCCAATGGTCTGAAGGACAGTGAACTGGCCCCCTGTATAAAAAGTTTGAGGACCCTGTGAGAAGGAAGTTTGTGGAGGAAGCAGGGACTCCCTAGGATGCTCCTGCTTTCTCATGGTGTCTCAGTAAGGAGAGAAAATCTTTCCCCCAAATCCAAGAACAGAGTTTTCAAGATTCCCCCCACCCCCACCCTTCTTTCCCCACACAACTTTCTTGCACATCCGTCACAAGGATAGACAGAAGAATTTAATAATACATGTAATGCTTTTCTTTCCATTTACACTATCATAAATTACAAAGTATTGTTCACTTCACAAAATAAAACCATTTCCAGATAATTTTTTGACAGTATCAAGAAGTACAGAAGCTACAACGAATAAATCTATACAGTTGGGAGGGAGGATCAGAGCAGAGACCAGGCCAAGCTGTTTTGACCCCCGTGTGCAGCGGAGTCCATCGGCATAGGCCTTGGGACCGTCCAGGACAGTGGTCACACTCTGCCCCTCCCGTCAGCTCCACTTGACACAGCCATTCTTTTATGGTCACTTCAAAACAAGACCAGTGAGCAATTGTGTGAATTATCTCAGACAATCAGGAAACGACATTGCAGTTGGATTTCAAAAAAAAAATCTAGATTTACAGTTTTGGATGTTTTAAATATTTCACTTATGTTACAAAATATAGAAATCTTGGTGTGAGAGCTCATGCTAAGATACGTATAATCAAGAGGATGGAACTGTAGTAAGAAAGTCATATTAAATTACTACCCATACAGAGCTACTTTGATTGAGGAATATTTGGTAAAAACCAACTTTATTCATTCTCACTTTTTAAAACAGGCTTGTTTACAAAACAAAAGTGAAAAAAAAAATTCGACAGTTCCGCAGATTTGCTGTTCACCAATACCGAAATGTGGCAAAAGTAACCTGCCAGTAACAGATGAAGTCAGAGGGCCTGGCTGAAAGGAAACGAGGAAAAGTGCTAACTTTTTACACAGCTCAGATACATCCAGTGTCCTTAAATCATTTTCTGTGAAGCCACCACATTCTGTGCTATGAATGATAGGGAGCAACGCCAGCCAATTACAAAAGCTACTTTGGGAAGTCACAAAATTATTATGAAAGCAAACCTGTGGATGTTTCAGACCATCCTATGATTGCTATAAACACACACCATACAAGAGCAGAATGACGGTGCTTAAGAGCAAGAACTATCAAAAGCAAGGATGCACGGGGCAGGTGAAACTTCATGGGAAAGCACTGCTGAGGACAGAGGTATGTCAAGATAATACTGCATTCATGGTCAACATTTTTAGGGCATCACAGCAAGAACGTGGGACAGGGCACACAGGGTAATAATCAATGCACTGCATTGAGTTCTATTTGCTAAAATAAAATAACATTCTTGCAAGTAAAATAAAAATACATTTTACAATATAGGTTTCATTTAACATTTAACAGATAAAATTGTCTTCTTTTTATAAGTGGAAAATGTATACCTGTATCAAGTACCTTTATGAATTAAGTTCTTGTTTGTTACTGATAAGACTGAACTTTTAAAGGTCTACGTTATTTTTTAATAAGTTAAAGAAAGATTTATTAATCACTCTTCCAGCAAAACAGACACACATACGAGGCACGGCAGAAGACCCAAGGTGAGGGGTTTTCCTCACCCTCACACTGGTCATTCTCGCGTGGAGAAGGCTCGTGTCTATGAGACACAGTACCTGACTCGGCAATCCACTGTGGTCCAGGAAATTCTGTCACTTGTTTGCAAAACAAATCAAGTGTATGAAATGTTTTATTCCTTTAGCTTTATCAACTTAGATGGGGCTGGGGCAATTCAGCTCATTTCCCTGATGGATTAAAACAAAACATCTTCATTTTCGATTAGGATCTGCACAATGAGCTTTTGGTACCGCATGTCGTGGAGGGTGGTCAGGGTGCTGTCCTCGGGGGGCCTCATCAAGGTGGGCCCAAACACGATCCCCAGATTTTCGGCATTCATTAAATTGTCCTTTTCATTCTTAGTAACCCTGTAACACACATATACACAGAGACATCATGTAGGCATACAGATGAATTTACATACTGATCCCATACTTAAGTCCCAAGAGCATCTCTGGTGTGGGAAATTTGGGGAGAAAATGAGAATCAGAATGGTGGAAAGGGATTTTCAAAGAGGTAATTTTCTGATTCTTTTTTTTTTTTTTTCAAATTGTTGACACTGCTTTCAGCCAGTAGATATAAATTACGTTATGCATTAATGAACACAATTTTTTAAATTAGAGAATTATTCCTCTTTACTAAACATATGTAGAACTATCCCATAAAGAATATTGGTTTGAAGGGGTGACAGATTATCAGCTGGCCCATGGTGCATGCATGGGCCTTACACGGAGTCTTTTCTTCCCCTGGTCAGTTCTTCCTGTTCTGCATACCAGAGAGTGGGGATCTGAGGGCAGATTCCTTGTCTGCTGGCAGGACTTCTGCCAGAGGAGAAAGGCTGCTGGTAGAATGGGTGGCCATGAATTTAGGAAGAGCCAGGCTGATATCATGGGACAGGCAGGAATGTGGCCAAATCGGAAGGCAGTTGGACATTATTTCTAGTTCCCACAGGATGAGGTCTGGAGTAGTAATTATTGTTGAATTAAAAATCATTATTTCAACATCCAGATAAGAATTGCAGGCTCAGTGCCTGTAGCTCAGAGGCTAGGGTGCCAGCTACATACACCAGAGCTGGCGGGTTTGAACCCAGCCAGGCCTGCCAAACAACAATGACAACTACAACCAAAAAAAAAGCAAGTTGTTGTAGTGGGCGCCTGTAGTCCCAGCTATTTGGGAGGCTGAGGCAAGAGAATTGCTTAAGCCCAAGAGTTGGAGGTTGCTGTGAGCTGTGATGTCACCATACTCTACAGAGGGGGACATAGTGAGAATCTGTCTAAAAAAAAAAGAATTGCAGAGCATCTAAGAATGAAATTCAAATTCCAAAGCTGGCTTCATACTTTTCTAGGAGAATAAAATGAAAATCTCCCTGATTTTTGCTTTCACAAATTTAGGTTTTAGAATATTCACAATAAATCTAAAGGGAGTAGGTTCTCCAGAGAGCAAAATATAATTAAAACGTGTTTAGGTTTTGCACAGAAGGCCATCCTTTTGGGCTTATTTCCTTAGAGCTCACTAGGACTAGCCATTTAGCATTATTCTAGGAAGGTCAACTCATCATCATTTTGCATCATTTTCACCCTACAAGGCTACAATGGGAGGAGAGTATATTCTTTACTATCAAAGTGCTCACTTCTCCCTATGAAGTCAGACACTGCACCTGACCAAACAAGATGACTAGAAAACCCGCCACAATGAAAATATGAAATGATGGCATTAAGATTCAGCTGGAAGATATCAACATTTTTTCTGATAGGGGCACTTTGCCTTCCAAACTGTAACAAGTGGCCATTGATCACAACGAAAGAAATGTTTTATAGCTAATGAAAAGCTGGGTATGACACTCACAGTTTATTACTTATCCAAAAATGACTTGTACTCTTAAATTCAATAAATTCATCAAAATGGGGATATTATGAGTGAAATGGCTCCATCTCGGTTCACTCTGAAACTGAGCCACAGTATTTGGGTGTTTTACAAGTCAGACACCCCCCCCATACCCAGTGTCAGTACAGCATTCTCAACTTGATTCCTTTCACTTATTATTTTTTTTATTATTAAATCATAGCTGTGTACATTAATACTGTCATGGGGTACGTGGCTGTTTTTATATACAATTTGAAATATTTTCATCAAACTGGTTAACATAGCCTTCATGTCATTTTCTTAGTTATTGTGTTAAGACATTTATATTCTACATTTAGAAAGATTCACATGTACCCTTATAAGATGAACCATAGGTGTGATCCCACCAATCACCCTTCCTCCACCCATCCTCCTCCCTCCCCTCCCCACCCTCTCCTCCCTTTCACTTATTGAGTAGAAAGTCAATGTTCCTTTTATCTAAGAATGGGCTGCTGCCATGTATCTAGAAAAAAAAAAATTCAAGGAGGCACATAGGTGTACCTTGATTCTTCCAATATGACAGGACCAACTCATTGACCTCATTAGACATGTACAGTGAAGGAAAAGAGATGTAGATTTAGGGAGAAGAGTCTCTAGAGTCCTATAGACATCCAAACATCTCCATCTGTCTCATATACTTCCACATGGACAGCGGGGAGTGTGGTGGGCCTCCTCTGCGATGGCCTCCAGTAACCCGGCCTCCTGGGTTTCATACCCTTATGGAATCCCTTCCCCTGAATATGGACTGAATCTAGTTACCTGCTTCTAACAAATATAAGATGGAACAGCAACAGGGCATCACTTCTGAAGTTAGGTTATAAAAAGACTGTTTTTCTTCTTGGGAGTTCTTGCTTACATGCTCTGAGGGAAGCCAGCTGCCATTTTGTGAACTGGTTATGGAAAGACTCAAATGGCAAAGAACTAAGGGTGGCCTCCAGCCAACAGATGGAAAGGAAATAAAGCCTTCAGTCCACCAGCCTTTTAGAAACTGAATCCTACCAACAATGACACCCCCACGTTCCCATCAAGCCTTCAGATGAGACTGCAGTTCACAGTATAGGCTTTGAAAGTGAAGCACCAGCTGAGCCACCCATAGCAACTTAGATAAGGTGATCAGATGTCCCACTTTTGGCAGGACAGTCCCAATTTTTAACAATTTGTCCTGTGTCCTGCGGTGTTTTAAAAAAGTCCCAATTTTTGGAAAGAATGCACGATAATCTAGGGAAGGGCGGGACAACGGGAAGGGAATATACGGTTTTCAGCTGCTGAAAAGGTTAATGTAACTCCATTTGGAAATGAAAAGGCTAATGTAAACTCCCTACTCCCCTCCTGGGCAAAGTTGCCCAGGTGGACTGGTGCCCTACTCCTTTGAGCCCCAGGTGCCATCCTATACATAATTTTTTAAAAATGTATTAAATTTGTAAATTGTACTTATGTTGAAATTAAAAAAATATTACAATACTATTTTTGCATTCTATGAAAATTTTTGTTGCTCCATATAGACCAAATTTTTAATCCTTGCCTCACCCCCAATCAATGGTGTCCACTTTACCAATGTTAAAATCTGGTCACCTTAAACTTAGAGACAGAGAACTCACATTAGATTAGGCTGGGAATGTGTTCTCCTGGGGACAGGAAAGCAGAGGGGTCTGGAACTGGGGCAAGCAGCAGAAGAACAGAACGCAGAAGGCAGGGATACAGACACAGAGGTGGTGTAGACAAAAGGTGAAGACAGAGCATGGGCTCTGATCAGCCTGCCTGGGTTTCATTCCTGGCTTTACCTCTTCGAATCAGCTATTTAACCCTGCTAAGCTTCAGAGTCTCATGTGTAACCCAAGGCCTCTGACAATGTGCGTCTCTTGGGATGATACAAGAACCACACCCAGAGCAGGTGTTGGCACAGAGGGAGGGCTTCAGCACTGCTGTCAGGGCTGGGAAGCATACTGATGCTTTTCCCAATGCACTGATGGGTTCAGAGTAGATCTAGGTTTACGGACAAAGTATTAGCTTACTTTTTGAGGTGGATCATCAGGTATCTGAGGGTCTCATAGTGGGCAGGAGGCAGCAGCAGCAACACTTCATGGACTGCTTCCAGCCTCTCATCTGGATTGGAGATTTCTGTGAAGTTCACACATCCAGATATTAGTGCTCAGTTAAGACATTAAACTTTTCAGAGAAGTAACAAATTTTGTCTTAGCCTCAAATGTGTATGTGGGGCGGGAAGGGGGGTTTCTAATAAATTCATGCAATTTCAGGTACTACTGCACTTAAACTGATCAATTGGTTCCTGCCCTGCCTTATTCCAGAAAGGAGTGAGCTGAACACCACATGCTAACTGGATGTTCATATTGTGGGCATCCGGAGGCTGGACAATGTCCTCACCCTCTAGGAATGTGCAGTCCACTGGAATGCCTACAGTCTGGTGGTATGTGCACAAACTGTGCTTGCCCTTTCTGAGCACTGGATTTGCTGGCAAGCTGGCTAACATAGCTTTAATTTGAACTGTACCACATGTGGTCGGTAGTGTTCCCTAGAAGTTGACTAATGTTGTTCCCTAGCAGTCTTCTACAACCAAGTGCACGTTGCAATGCAGGGGCACTGGCAGATGAGCCGGCCAGCTCAGCCTGCACCTGTGGAACTTCTCACCTAGGTGAGGGTATGATTAACCCTGGGCACAGCCTGGGTCAGGAAGAGGAGACTAGGCCCATTAACAATGAGAGGGAGAATATGTATTTCTGGTTTAAGGGTCTCTGATAGGTACTGGCAGCTACTCAAAGAAATTCCTCCTGCTAGTCTTCCTGGGAGGGAGGATACCCAGCTGCTATCTTTTCTGCTTAGGACTACTGGGACCTGAGAATGAATGGTCTTACCAAGGACAGGGCCACAGCTCACATGGAAAGTGCATCTCCCTCTAATCCCAGCCTGCCCTTGTGTTTCCCGTCAGGCATCTCATGACTATACTTAATAGCACATACCTAAACTTTTCTACTTTTAAAGATTAACCAACAACAGCAACCACAACTAAAACTCAAAACACAAGGAAACTTCCTCAAAGTGGGCTTGATTTCTATCTATATCCTATATCTCAGCATCTCAATCTCCCCTTCCTCACTGTTGCCTATTCCTGGGCAAAGTGTAGCCCTCCCCCCTTCCCCTTTCACCCTGCTCCTCTCTCCTGCCAGCACAGATACAGGGCTGCACACGGAACAACCAGCCATTGGCTGAGGGAAGGTGAATGCTGACTTTCCACTCCTGGACCTGTGAGTTTGTTCTCTAAGCCTTGCATTCCTGAAAAATGGAATTCTACTATTTGCCTCATGGAGGACATGGCAGATTAAGCTGGAAGACATTGGTGAAGGGCCCTGGCATAGCACTTGGAATGGCATATTCTTGGCCTCCTATTAATTTTGAACGATAGCAGTAGGTAAAACTTGGGTGTAACTTTAATTGATTAGCAATGAGATTCTGCCTAGTGGATAAAAGTAGTTAACCTACATGGTCTTCATTGAAGAAAATATGATTTTTTTGCTACAGAAATATTCATATTTACAGCAGCATACGCCTGAGTGTGCTTGTTCCCAGCATTCAAGGAATGATGGGGACAGAGACAGAACTGACATCCTGCTTCAGCCAGGTACAGTTGGCCGGGCATGGGTTCAACTCAGCTGATGAACTATGCCTGGTTTCCTATTAACTGTACTATTGTGCCCTCACTTGGCAAATAATAAGTTCACATGCAATAATTTCAAGAGTTCTAAGTTTTAGTTTCCTTCAAGTCAAAGGCATTGTGCTTAAAATTTTGGCACAAATAAAAAATGAATTCTAAATACTTACTTGCTGCTTCTATAAATTTGGAATAGGTATCATATGTGATGAGGGGGATGGGTAAGTCTCTGAAATACAGTTTAAGGGCTCCAGTGATGATGTTTATGTCTGGATAAATGTTGGCAGATATATCTGCCTTCTCGCCATCTGAAAAACAAACAATAACCCAAGACCTAATTAGGATCTTATTGCACCAAGTTAAGGCCTGCACAGAAAGGAAAAAAGAAATAAAACAATGACTGCTTCCTCAGCTAATTTTTTTGGCTTCTATTAATACTGAAGTGTAGGAGGTAACAGAAAGGAGTTTGGTAACTGTGAGGTAGGGTTCAAGGGTAAGAGCAGGCAGAAGGGTAAAGAAATAGACTTAACACAGTTCTGTGGGTCCTAGCCCCTGGTGATTTGCTAAGCAGAAATTTACCAGAGTAATTTATTCGTATTACAGACACAAAAGTTCATAACAGAATGACAATCTAATTTGAAATATCAATAAAAAGACATCAAGAAACTCTTTAACACATCTCCACCCGTATTCTTTGGGCTTTGATGCAGAGGCCATATTTACAAAATAATTGTTGATTATCTCCAGTTCTTATTACTTCTTTCAGGCTCCCTGAAGTGTTTTTATTTTGATTTGACCTGCCTTTTCCCACCCCAAGGACTTCAACCTGGGAAACTTGCCTTGTGTACAGTGGTGTTATACTGCTTACCATCGCTAATGATAGGTCCCAAGACAGTTGATGTTTTGCTTTACCCTTAGTAAATATCAGTCCAGTTTGTCACAGGTTATGAGAAATTTTTGGATTTAAAAAGTGTTCATTACATAGGGGTTATTAAAATCTTTTGTATAGAGAATTGATTAAAAGAACAAATGCCTCAGCCAATTTGGTTCTGAAGATAAAATAAGCTGCAGATGCACAGGAAACAGTAAAGGCACAGCAGGTACGTCATATTGACCCCAAACAATTGGCAAACATTTACTGAGAATCTACGGCGCACTGTTATGCCCGAGCAAATTCAAGAAGAAAAGAGATACCCTCTTCCAACAGTTCTAGTTAGAGTGACGGTCAGACACGCAACTCAACAATTACGAGGAGATGGGAAGATTACTATGCTAAAGAAGCGTGAAGAACATGGAGGGAGGATGTGGGAAAAGGAAACGGAGCTCTTGGGTCAGCTTGGGGCAGTCAGGAAGGCTTCTTGAAAGAGGAAAGACTTGAGTTGACCCCTGGGTAACAGGTGTTTGCCAGGCAGAGATGTGAACACATTCCAGATGGACAGACAACGTGAGCCAAGATGCTTCCTCATGACAGCAAATAAGGTCTGTTTCAAGGTTGCTGGGGTAATCGGTGTCACAGGGAAGAGGAGCGACAGCTGAACTGGACAGAGAGGAGGGCTGCGTTGTTGAAGACCTTGTATACCATGCTGCAAAGTGGAAGCTCTGTCCATGGGCTAAGAGTCCCATCTCTTGACTGGCTGTGCCAGAATTGTTGTATTGTTTATTAGAAATACAGAATTCTGGGCTTATCTAGTTTTCTGAGTGAGTTCTGTATTTGAAACAAGATCTTCTTTGCTGGGTATAGTGGTTCACACCTATAATTCCAGTAGTCTGGGTAGCTGAGGTAGGTGGATTGCCTGAACTCAAGAGTTGGAGACCAGCCTGAGCAAGGGTGAGACCCCATCTTTACTAAAAATAGAAAAACTAGCTAGTTATTGTGTCAGGAACCTATGGTCCTAGCTACTTGGGAGGCTGAGGCAAGGGGATTGTTTGAACCAAAGAGTTTGGGTTGCTATGAGCTATAATGACACCACAGCACTCTAACCAGGATGACAGAGTGAGACAGAGTCTCAGACAAACAAACAAAATCCTCATGTTGGCTATGTCTGCCCCAGGCTAGAACATATATGCCACCATCATAAAGAACAAAAGAAATTACTTCCTAAAATTCCACTGGCTTCCCCTCCTTCTATGCTGGGGCTACCCTCCCTTCCCTGTGCTCCTTCTTTGGAGCTGAGGGAAGAACCGTCTATGGGATCCCGAGGTCGGCACACAGAAGGGTACTTGGTGCCATGTGGAGCTGGCTGCCCAGCCAAATAGTATTTTAAACTCCCCTGGGGGTGGCAACTTGACCGTGGCTTCTAAGGAAACACCTTCCCCAGAGAGGCAGAACTCTGTGGTTTTCAAGCCATTGTTACACAGGTTCCTGAGGAATGACTCTCAGTAGTTCTGAAACTCCGCTCTCACTATAAATAAAACCTGGTTTCAAAAGAGAGATGCTAAGTTTGTCAGATGGCATTCAAGAAGCGCAGGCTTACCTCTGTCAAATGCCATTTTGACATCTTCAATGTGTTCGGTGAACCCAGAGACTCTGTAAAGGCCTTCTGATTTTAATCCTGTTAGGGAGACAGACAGACACACTAACTTTAGTTTCTTGAAATATCTCAAAAAATAGACTCGAATTCGCATCTGTACTATATGCTATCAGGACAGGAACAAATACAGTCAGTGATCTGATGTATCACACACTGTTGCATCAGAACTTGGACTTGCCAGTCTCAGTTTCCATGCAAATCTGTTTTCATTTGCTTGTATGGCAGTGGGGATCTCAGTGGAAATCTTGTCTTCTTTTTGCCTGGCTTTGCAAAGTGAACTGATATTCAAGATTCTCATCAACCAGTCCTGTACTTCTTTTGTTTATCAGGCAAAATACACTTTTGTGGAAAGCAACTCAGTTCTTTCCCTTGTATCATCTTAATCTGTGTACTATACTACATGCAGCACTGTGCTAGGGACATGCACACATGTGTGTCTTATGCCTATTATTCTGATTTTATTGGAAAAATCCAAATTTTATATCTTTTCTTATTTACCCATAAGAAAATATGTTAACTGTTCAATTAAGTATGATTGATATAATTGTTATACTTTCAGACAAGTGATTACACAAACAGGTAAATAAAATCTTTACTTACACGTGAAATTTACTAGGTATAGAATATAAATGTCTTTAAGACAATAACTAAGAAAATGCCGTGAAGGCTATGTTAACCAGTTTGATGAAAGCATTTCAGATTGTGTATAAAACTAGCACATTGTACCCCATGATTGCATTAATGTACACAGCTATGATTTAATTAAAAAAGAAAAAAAATCTTATTTCTTGTCTCTGAAAATTGGATCCCTGTATTTTTAGGCTAAGAAAAAGATTTAGTTTCTGTTCCCCAAGCTTACTGATTTGTTAAGATATGTCTTAAAACCTAGTGAGGTCCTAAAAGTATCGAAAGGGATAGGAGACCAGATTTCAGACCCTGTCTGTCACAAACTAGCTGCTATCAAAACTCTAGCTACGGCAAAAATAAGCAAGCAAACAGCTTCTGCTGTGGTTGCAGTATACCTCCAAGCTGTTGATAAATAACACATGCTCCTGCTTTTTCACTTGGGCAGTTATGGAATGTGTACTACCTGCCATGTATAAGGGTCTTCATTAAGTCTGCATCAGAGACAAGTACATGGAGTATATGGTATAAATCATAAATACCGCCCAGACCCCTTTCCTATGACCATGACAGATACCCCTAGTTGATCTCAGCTCTTTCCCCACTGAACCCTCCTCGGTTTCACAATTCATCTCAGTACCAGTTGTTCAGATTGCCACTAGTGATCAACTGAACTTGGCACATGAGATGGAAACAAAATTATGGTGCACGTGCACACAGCTCAGTACAGTTGGAAGAGGGGCAAGGACACAGTAGTTTATGTGAGTGCACTGCCTGCTGTGGTAACCCTGCTTGTTGCTAGATGAATCAAGGTTCTGGTTGATTCAGCTTCTGGCTTGTAGACGGCAACCTTCTCTCATGAGTCATCACGTGGCCTTTCCTTGGTGTATGTGGAGCGTGACAGAGTAAGCTTGCTCTCTGGTGTCTCTTCCCAAAAGACATGAGTTACATAGATTAATACCCTGCCCTTAGGATCTCATTTAACCTTAATTACTCCTTCAAAGACCCCACCTCCAAATACAGCCACACTAGGTTAGGGCTTCAACATACAGATTTGGTAGGGATAAGAGGAAGAAAAATCATTTGGTCCTTAATTCACTGAGTCACTTTCAAAGCAATTCAGGTTTTCAAGGAACACAGAAAATCAGTGCTTTATAGTCTATGCTAAACTATGTTTGTGGTTTACAGCTGTGGTCCCCAAACCCTAGGCTGCGGCCTGGTACCTGTTAGGAGTCAGGTGCAGAGCTCTGCCTCCTCCGCCTACCCTCCCAACCCAGGTCCAAGGAAAAACTGTCCTCTATGGAAAAACTGCCTTTCAGAAAACTTAGGAACTGGATGCACAGTAGGAGATGAAGCCTGCTTCCCATCCCTGTGGGAAAAATTGTCTTCCATGAAACTGGTCTCAAAAATGTTGGGAACTGGCTCGGCGCCTGTGGCTCAAGCGGCTAAGGCGCCAGCCACATACACCTAAGGTGGCAGGTTCAAATCCCCAGCCCCAGCCCGCCAAACAACAATGATGGCTGCAACCAAAAAATGGCCAGGCATTGTGGTGGGCGCCTGTGGTCCCAGCTACTTGGGAGGCTGAGGCAGGAGACTTGCCCAGGAGTTGGAGATTGCTGTGAGCGTGATGCCATGGCACTCTACCCAGGGGGATAGCTTGAGGCTCTGTCTCAAAAAAAAAAATGTTGGGAACTGCTGGTTTAGAGTAAAATTAAATGGGGGTAATTTTCCCGACTCTAGCCCATACTTTACTTAGCAATGAATCATCTTGTATTATATTGAGATGCTTTTTTGAGAAGCTAATCAATCCTTCAGCACACCCCCAGAGTGAGTTCAGTATGCCCCTGGGTGAGGGGCTATCTACAACTTGAACTTTACCTTGAAAGCAAGAACAATGTAACCTAAAAATTTGTACCCTCACATTAATTTGAAATAAAATAAAGTGAAGCTAATCTTGAAGGACATCATGAAGGATGGGTTGGAGCTTGTCAGAGCCACCGAGACCGCCAGCTATCCTTCTAATATTTGTCTTCCATTCCTCTATGGTAATGGAAACTTTGATTTTTAGATCAGCATCCATTGCAGCAGCCATTAATCTCTGGCCAAGTGGTGTGTCCAGCTTCTGGGGTGTGGCCCAAAGGGAAATAACCCGCCCCTTTCCCCTCCTGTTGGCTGCAGTATAGGTGAGATGCTGGCAGCCAACATGGGCCCTGCAGACGGGGCAGCACTTGAGCACCACAGGGCACAGCTGCAGGGTCTGCATTCCTGCTGTACAGGTCTACTGCACTGACTTACTTCTGGGCACCTGGATTGTTGCTGGGAGAGAAATAGATTTCTGTCTTGTCTAAGACAGTTATTCAGGGTCTCTGTGATAGCACTGAGATGTACAGACTGAGGAACACAGTTAGACAGAATTGGAGGTGGACTTATGGGAGTCAATTACTTTAAGAGAAGGCAGATAGGACTAACATGGTTGAGTCCTATAACACAGGCCAACACTGTACTAGGTCATTTATATGTATCAACTCATTTTAATCCTCACGACCACTTCACGGGGTACAATTTATTCCATTCATGCCATGAAGGAGAAAAAAAAACCTCAAACACAGTAAATTACTATAGCCAGTAAGACTCAGAGCTGGGAATTTAACTTCAAGCCCATGTTCTTTTCACTCTGTCCCATCAAGCAGAGACAAATGGGCATAAAAGAACATTTGGGGCAGGCTGGATGTGGTTGCTCACGCCTGTAATCTCAGCACTCCGGGAAGCCCAGGTGGGAGGATTGCTTGAGCTCAGGAGTTTAAGACTATCCTGAGCAAGAGTGAGACCCTGTCTCTATGAAAAGTTGAAAAATTAACCAAGTGTGGTGACACAAGCCTGTAGTCCCAGCTACTTGGGAGGCTGAGGCCAGGGGATTGCTTGAGCCCAAGAGTTTGAGGTTGCTGTGAGCTAGGCTGATACTACGGTACTCTAGCCTGGGGCAAAAGAGTGAGGCTCTCAAAAGAAAAAAAAAAAAAGAACATTTGGTACAGTAGGAATTTGCTGTGGATGGAAGACAGCAAGGACAATTGTGGCCATGCAGCTGGGAGTGTCACATAAATTTCTCCCAGGGCATTCTTGGGTTCTGCTGATGTGTTCAGGCTCCTTACACCTAGGGCTATAATTCCTATGCTGTGACTTCCTTGGCATTAATTCCTGATTTGTGCTATTCTAGCTCTTGAACTAGGCATGCTTAGTGCTGTGTTCCCCAGGGGATCTTTCTTATTAAACGTCAGCCATGGCACTAACGTGGCCTGAATTATCAGTCATCCTGGGAGGAAGCTATGCAGATTCCAGCTTCTTCAGAGAAGCACAACTCCATCCTTGGGTCTGACCCAAACTGCAGAACCTGCTAAGTAGCAGACCCAGGACCACTTGTTCCAGACACTCATCCTGAGTCAGGGAACTCGCCATTTCCGCTTACACAGCTCAGTCATTGGATTAATACTGTCACTAGATCTTACAGCACTCATTAAGCCTTGACAGCCACAGCAGTGAAAAGTACAGGAGACATTTCTTACAATCAGAGATTAAATGAGCAAGTTCTCAGAGAACAGAATAGCTATGGTTTTCCACCCTGCATGGGAAAGGGAATAATTTCCTATCTGTAAAAGGCTTGGCATAATAAGCTATAATGTCCCTTTTTGTTTTGCTTTGGAAAAAATGGAGTGGCTGTCCAATGAATGTATACCTGTAAAATATACTCAGCCAATTTAGACACAATAATGGATATCAAGTATAGCAGAATATAATGCATAGTAAAAAGGGTTAAAACCTTACAAAAGACCTGACCCAGTTATACAAGTTATATCGGGGAATCCAAGTTCTCCCAGCCAGACCTAAGCATGTCACTGGACATTTTGAGACTGACTGGTGGCCAAACGAAGGAAAGTTGACTCAAGCATAATATCATGAACCTTTTCTAGAAATGTTTCTATCTTCCTTGCCTCCTTGATTTTTCATTGGATGGATCTTTCTACTCTTTTAACTCTCCTCTTTGAACTAAACAGAATCATTTTAGGGCCAGACATAGCAGTTTATGCCTGTAATCCCAGCACTTTGGGAGGCTGAGGCAGGAGGATCACCCAGCAGCTTGAGGCTGCAGTGATCTATGATTGTGCCAATACACTCTAAACCCAGCAACAGAGCAAGGCCTCGTCTCAAAAAAAAAAAAAAAAAAAAAAGAAAGAAAATCTCTAAAAGTGCATTTCAGGTATTCTCACCACAGGTAATTCCTATGTTAATTAGCTCCATTTAGCAGAACACAATGTATACATATTTCAAAACATCATGTTGTATGCCAGAAATATATATACAATTAAAAAACCCAATATTTTCATATGTGAGAGATATATGTTGATCAACAATTTATTATTTAATAGAAACAATTTTTAACAAGTTCAAATCCATCTTCATCTTGCCATAATCCTTTCTCAGTTGTCCTCAAATAAAATTACAACATCTTCCTTTGTAAGTCCATGGTGCTTTGAATATAGCTACCCACCAACATTTCTTTATTTGTTCTTCTGATTCCTCACACTTTAGTATGAATTTTTGAAGGAAAGAATGGTGACTTTTCTAACCTCAATGTCTAGCAAATAAATGCTTAGTAAAAACATCTATTGAATGCATACATGCATGGCTTATAAGACATGGAAATTGATATAGCTGCTTGGATTTAGTTTTCTGCAAATTTATCTGTGTGTGCATGCTTATCTGTGGGCAGGTCCCAGCAAGAATTCAACTTCAGTTTCCTTGACAACAGTAAAAATAAATAGTACAGCTAGAATCACTACAATATTAGAATAGGATGAATTTTCCAAACCTCTTGCTTCAATTTCCCGAATGCATATGTCTACCACCATGGGCCTCTGAGTGTTGTGTGCCTTCACGAGTGTTGTAAGGTCACAACAGTACACTTTTTTGATCCGCTTGAGATCAGGTTGGCAGTCATTGGGAACGTGCTTGGAACACTGTTTGTGTACATTCAATCCACAATCTGTGAACAAAGATGCCACACACAAATTATACATTACCAAAAATAAGAATACCACCCCCAAGGGTTGATGTATTTCCCTGGAATGCCTGCCTCACTTAGAGAGTCTCTCTGTACAAGATGAGCGTGCTACCGATTCATTACTAACCCCTAAAAGACTCCATCTTTCTCAGTAAGCCCCTCTGTGGCTGGACTACCACACCTTATCCAGATAGGGTAGGTAATTAGCCAGGTTGTTTGTGTATGTTTTCTCTTTTCAAGCTGGAAGCTTTTGGGTCCCACAAGTGGGCTTTTGGGCTTGGATTCCCGGAGATAATCACCTAGGATAACCTAGGACTTTGGCTATGTTGTTTCCGTTCAGCCCGTGATGCTCTTCTGTGGAAGGCATAGTTACTCTTCTGTAGGAATTGCCAATCTTTGGTTTGAGGAGTCTGTGACCACTGGCATTCTCATCTCCTTTCCTAGAGAGTTCCCCCATAGCTGGAGCTCCCTCCCTCCTTGCTGGGCACCGTGAGTCGGCCGTTTTCCTTTTGACACCTACAAGTGGAAATAATGCCTGACCGTACACCAGTGGGAATACCTGAGAGTTTATAATTTATAACAAGGCCATGTAATGCGATGATTAGAGGAATTATTTATAAAGCTCATATCAAGATCCAAAGCTGAAAAGGTGCTTTTAAGTTCAATGAATACATTAAAAGCCTTGTTAGCAGTCAGTATCCACTGACAGAATTTCTCTGACAGTAAAAAGGAACAGTCTCCATTCTGGAAGATAAAAATTTAATGCTGAAGTTGTTCAAAGTTGATGTGCTGTGTACTCAAAATGTCCTCTAAAACTGGTTTTCTAGGTATAAAGAAACCCCCCCCCCCCCCGGCACATACATGCACACAAGACAATGAATATTGTAGTCATCTGCTTTATAGAAAAAGTAGTTAACCATACCAAGAAGTTGAGAGGACTCTTAACTTCTGTAAAGTCAGTGGCAATTTCTAATTACCATGTGATTCGAATTTCATGTAATTTTGACTAGCTGAGTTCTTTTTGTCTATCTTCCTATCAAAGAAAAAAACTAGTTCTAATTCATCTTTGTTTTATCATCTTGAGAAATTCAACAAAGCTCAAGTGAGCATCAATAATATTTTGATATTTCTACCTTGTGAATAAGTTTTGGCTAAATGAATTGGCTGGTACTCGACGGTGTAGAGTTAGACTTTATTTCCACTCATAGGTGTCAAAATAAGGTCCATAGGAAGGACAACAGCTTAGTCAGAGTGCCCAGCTAAGAGGATGGGAGAGCAAACGCTGGGCCAATTCTCCATAAAGGGTGAAGAACACTGTCTCTTCAAACCAAAGATTAGCAACTCTGCCTTTCTTGTTTGAATCCTCTTTTGTTCATACATAACGGAGTTGATAATAGCACCTAGTCTTCGGGTTATCACGCTGCTCTGATAAGTTAACAAGGTGCTCACCACAGTGTCTAAAATACAGTAGGTACTATGTATATGTTTCAATAAAATAAATAGCAAATATGGTAATAAAAAAACAAAGATACTTGCCCAGCTTTTAAGTTTTTTTAATTAGTAATTTTTATTACATCTTATAAACTAGTAAGTTTTTGAACAAAATTTTTTGTTTAAAAATTTGAATAAATTTGAATACATTTACATTTTACATTGTAAAATATGCATAATACTTTTTTTTTTCCCATTTTAATCATCTTTAATCCTACAGTTCAGCAGCAGTAAGTACATTCACACTGTTGTACGACCATCACCACCATCTATCCCCAGAACCTTCCTCCAACTTCCCAAACTGAAACTCTGTACCCAAATAGTACAACTCCCCATTGACCTGTCCCACAGCCACCATGCAACTTTCTGTCTCTCTGAACTTGCTATGCTAGGTACTTCGTGTAAGAAGAACCATGTCTTCATTTTAAGATCTGAAGCAATAATATATATGTGGAATTACATATTTATATTTTACTAAAGTTAAAATATTTTATAACAAGTATAAAATATTAAGTTTTTACAAAGTAACAGAACTCTATCTGCTACAAATAAAGGCTAGTATTTTTCAAAATATGTAATATATGAAGAGCTGAGAGGCAATGATGGTTCTTCCTAACCGTATATGATCAGTTTTCAGCCTTCTTACTGCTTAAAGGAAATATACGGACAAAAAGTAGCCACTGGAGAACACCAACAATATAGCTTTAAAATGTATTTCATTAAAGAAAAAAAAAACTAGAAAAAAAAAAAAAACCCAAAAACCCTTTCATCCCAGAAAAAAGTGCTGTTCACAGCTAATGTGAAGCCCAGAGTTTTGTTCTCCAAATATTGACTTTGGACCAATTTCATGCTGAAATTGGATAATACCAGCAATTAGGGATATTGCTGATAGATGTAATGTGGACGGGCCAAGTTAGTGGCCTCTGAGTAATTCAGATATTCTACCTCTTTGCTCAGTGACTGAGCTGTGAGGTACTCTATAACTCTTGGCAAGTAAGTCTCTTGGGTTAATCAGGATATCTAAACATATCTGGGGAGGCTGCCTCTCAGAGGTCAATCTGAACATAAACCACTAATCTCATGGACCTGGGATGGGGGAAACAGAGTTATCCAACAAACACGAGAACTACTTGAACCATCCAGATGCCTATACTTGGCTATATTTACATGGAAGCTAAAATGCCTCTTCCAGGCGGAGAGGAAGATAACAGTCACATCCCAAATGAAGGGTCGGGGACCAACCCCACGGATGTTTTGTTTTGTAATATTAGTCTGTGCAAGACAACAGAACACATAAAAACAAAACATCTGGGGGGTCAGCTCCCCACTTCGGGATGCAAATGTTGGTTGCAGCATCCTGTGAACCAAGATGGCCACTTCGGGAAAGAAGGTCACCTCAAAGTAATGTTATTAGCTTATTTTAAATGCTGCATATGAATTATTTTTTAAAATCACACACTAGCAAAGAGGAACAGGTCATAGTGTCAGTAGAAAGCCAGTCAGTATCAGAAGAGGCTGTTCTTGGTTCTGGCCACAACTGCTTGCCAGAAAGAAACATGGCATAATAAATCAGGAAGCCCAGTTACGTGTTCATTTGGCAACTCTCTGTCATTTTGTTAGAGGTACCTGAATACGATGTGTTACGTGCTGTTAGCAATGGGTATGTGCACCCAGTTCCAGGGGGAAAAGCACCTAGGGTTTCAAACTACTTTGAAAACATATGATGAAAAATCAAGGTGGTTTCGCGGCTGATCTGATGGCAGAAAAGTAGTGAGCATCAGTCTGATGGCCTTTGGCTCAATGTCCCACTGTTTACTATGTGGCCGAAGGCAAGGAACAGTTAGCTGTAAGCCTCTGTTTTCTCTTTTATTTAATTGCATCGCCTCAGGCCCTGTTGGTGAGGCTAAATTGGCATGATGAATAGAAAGAGGCAGCCTGGTGCCTGGTAAGTGGTAGATATTCATCAGCATTCTTATTATTTTTGTGTCCTGCCGTTCACAATAAGATAGGGTAGGAAAAAGTATGGTGTTGGAATTGACTTTCTTTTCCTTTTAAGGAATAATGCCTATTTGGGGAGGCAGGTAAGTGTTTAAGAATATGTATTTCTTGTGTTTTTTTCTTTTTCTTTCCTTTCATAAACATGAGATCTTTTTCATTTGTTGTAAGCAGGGAACTCTCCAGAAAGCCAGATTTTTCAGCATATCTGAGCATATTTCTCAGCTCTGGAGAGGGGTCCTCCTGCTCAACATAGCAGCACTTCGAAACTGGAAAAAGAGAAAGAACATTCGTGTCTACCTGAGCACCGGACCCCTTGGGCGATGAGTCCCCACATGAAATTGGCACAGTATTCACACCAGTGTGGGCCTCGAAATGTGTGGACCTGTGATCCAAAAAGAGAAAAAACATCAGAAAATCTGGAGTCATTGGAAGTCGGAGGAGTGCTTCATTGGGCCTCCTCCCTCCAGTGAGGCAGCTGCAAACAGAGCCTGCAAAAACAGAGACGTGCTTTGATCTTTGAAATCCTTTACTGGTCCACCGTGCCCCAAGCCAGAATCAGAAAGGAATGTGGAGAAACAGTAAGATTATAGGGCTTTGCCATCACCTAAGAAATGAGACTCTCACCACCTAAAATAAGACACTGTATAGACAAACCCAAGATGGTCTGAGTCGGTAGCTATAACCTGCATTTAGCTCAGCAAGGTCTGGAAGGCAGAACTCAATTACTGTGCCCTTTTGACCCAAGTTGCCCCATCTGTAGACCAGCCAGGCAGGTATAAATAAGACATGATCATGGGATAATTGAAAGGTTCCCAGGCTTTGAGCTACTTCCAAAAAGGTATTTAAAAAAGTGAAGGAGGCTGGGTGAGGTGGCTTGAGCCTGTAATCCTAGCACTCTGGGAGGCTGAGCTCAGGAGTTTGAGACCAACCTGAGCGAAAAGGAGATCTTGTCTGTACTAAAAATAGAAAAATTAGCAGGACATGGTGATGTGTGCCTATAGTTTCAGCTACTTGGGAGGCTGAGATAGGAAGACAACTTGGGCCCGGGAGTTTGAAGTTGCAGTGTGCTATGATGATGCTACTGTACTCTAGCCTGGGCAACAAAGTGAGACTGTCTTTAAAAAAAAAAAAAAAAAAGTGAAAGAATTGGCTGAAAATGCAGGCTACCAACGGGCCCTGTGGGCTACCAATGGGGTCTATATTGAGTAGACCTTGGTGTAGCCTTCAGGTAAATAAGCTAAAAACCTCTCCTGGTTGATCAAAGAGCTGCTTTTGTGAGTGGCTGCCCAGCTGGTTGTTCCATATTCTGAATATCACAAAGTAAGAATGGGCTTATTTTTGATTATTCAAATACAGGATCTTCTAGAACAGGACCATGTATTCCATCATGATTTTAAAATGAAAACAAAACAGGGTGGTACCTGTGGCTCAAAGGGGTAGGACGCCAGCCCCATATGCCAGAGGTGGCGGGTTCAAACCCAGGCCCGGCCAAAAACAAAAACAAAAACAAAAACAAAAACAAAACAAAACAAAAATACTTGTTCTCTGGCCCCAAAGAGCTTTAAGAAGCAGAGCTGGGGGATTCCTTAAAAAAACATCTGACAAGTGTCAGCCAAAACCACCATGGCTACAAGGGTACATGTGAAATTTACTAGGTATAGAATATAAATGTCTTAACACAATAACTAAGAAAATGCCGTGAAGGCTATGTTGGCCAGTTTGATGAAAGCATTTCAAATTGTGTGCAAAACCAGCACATTGTACCCCATGATTGCATTAATGTACACAGCTATGATTTAATTAAAAAAACAAAAACACCTTGGCTGTCTATTGGAGGTATACAAATCTACATGAAATGTTTCTAAAATCTTACACAATTAAAATACCATAAGACATTACATAAAACCTTTCGAAGTTTTAAACGTCCATTAATAAATAAATGTAGACAGTATTAATTTTTTACATGCTGGGAGGCTTGTATACTACTTTTATTTAACAAAAAATCAGTTTAAGTAGGGTCATAATTTGGGGCGATGCCCATCAAAGTTCTACTTTAAGAAAAAAAATTAGCCCCGTTTTGAGTTCTTTTTTTATTCATACCCACTAGTAATCAGGTGTGCATAAAGAGGCAAGCAAAACAGACCTGGATCCCTCCTAATGGAACTCACAGACGAGTAAAAGCAGAGGAAGAAAGTCAGCAAGTTAATAAATCAAAAAGAGCCACTTAGAACCAGGATTTCTATGCAACAAAGTCACAGTAGTCTTTTGGTATTTCAGTTTATCACATGCAAACTGTCCCTTAGAGAGTTTTTACTTTGAAAACAGATGCGAAAACTTCTCAAAATTGTTCTCACTTAAACAAGTGTGTTGCAAGAGAATGGCTCTGAGACGTGACAACACACTCCCGGCAGGAATGCAGAGAATTCATCCTGATAGTACACATAGTGCCGATACCATGATTCACCTGGAGGCCCGTTGACATTGAACTTGGTACTAGAAGGATTCCTCAGTAAAATATCCTTATTAAAGTTGAACATTTTCTAAATTCAGCAGCCATACATTTCTCAATATTTTACTAGAAATCCTCTAAAAGTTTTGGCTCATTATGGCAGCAAAGTCACTTGTTAACATACCACTGAAGTCACAAGATCAATTAAATATAATAAAGTAACATGTAAAAGGCAACTCCCCATAAAAAAGCATGAAAAAGGTTATAGAAGAAAAAAAGACGAGGCTGCTCCTGGAGAGACTAAGAGGGGCCAGTGTTATCCCAGATAGCTGGTCAGGAAGGCCCCTGTTGGAAGGTGACTTAAAGGAAGAGAAGAGCCAGTCCTGTGGGGGAAAGGACAGGGAACATTCTAGGCAAAAGGGATGGAGGCCTTGCCGAGGCAAAAGAGCTGTGTGTGATGGAAGAGCCGGAGTCCAGAACACTAAGAGGGAGGCAGGCGGGAATCGAGATGAGGCTGAAGGTAGGAAAGGGAAAGTCATTCAGGGCCTCTATTCGTGAGTGTGCATTTGGTTTTAATACAGGTGCAACAGAAATTTCCTGGAGGGCTTCACATAGGAGCTATACGTCTGAACCATGTTATTCTGATTACTGTGTTGAAATGGGTGTGAGAGGGTGTTAGGAGGAGAACAGATTCGAAAACTGTGCAGGATTGAGCAACAACAGAGGAGGAGACCAGGGTGCTGGCCGTGGAGATGGGAAGTAGATGGATTTGAGATATATTTGGAAGATAGACTTTACAAGACCTGATAATAGAATAAATGTGGATCTTTGAGGGACAGGGGAATAAAAACAACTCCTAGACTCTAGCTTAGGAACAAGTGGATGGTGACACCATTTGCTGATGTAGAGCAGACACTCTCCTGGGGAGAAGTTCCCGGATTCAGCTTTAAGCAGGTTAAGGTTAAATGCTGCTATAAAATACACATGTAAGTGTCAAGGAGGTATTCACACAAATTGGGTATCTCAGAGGAGGGGTGAGGGTTGACAAACATGTTATTTAAAATGGTATAAGTGAAAAAAAGCACAGTAGTGTATTGCTTAATGGCAAGGATGCATTCTGAGAAACGCATTATTAGGCAATCTGCCCTCGAGGAGGTGGGGAATACCATCGATGGTGCTCACACAAGCCCAGATGCTACAGCCTACTCCTCGTGGAGGCTGTATGATCTGGCCTGTTGCTCCCAGACTACAAACCTACACAGCATGTTACTGTGCTACATACTACAATTAATTATAATGTGATAGTTGAGTAATTGTCTAACCAAATATAATCTAAATATAGGAAAGATAAAGTAAAAATATGGTATAAAAGATGAAAGATGCTACACCTGCATAGGGCAACTTCATTGTAACTTTTTGGGACCATCATCGTAAATGTGGTCTGTCATGGACTGAGATGCCGTCATGCAGCGCGTCATGCACTTGGGCATAGAGAGCAGAAAATAAAGAAAAGTCAGCTCAGCCCCAAGCCCTCACTCAGTCCTCCAATGTTTAGAGAACACCCCAAAAGTAAAGTGTTTGAGAAGCCAAGAGACAAAAGACTGCTTTCGGGGAGGAGTGGTCAACCATGTTGAGTGCTGGCAAGAGGCCAATTAGAGAAGTACTAAACACTGATGTGGATCCATGGAAGTCATTCACAGCCTTGGTAAGAGCAGCACCTTTGGACCAGTGAGGGCGGAAGTCAGACTCAAGTGAACCGGCTGGGCGTGGTGGCTGATGCCTGTAATCCTAGCACTCTGGGAGGCTGAGAGGCAAGAGGATCACTTGCACTCTGGAGCTTACAACCAGCCAAAGCGAGAGACCCCATCTCTACTAAAAATAGAAAAATCAGCCATCTATGGTGGCATGTGCCTTGAGAGGCTGAGGCAGGAGGATTGTGTAAGCCTGAGAGTTTGAAGGTGCTGTGAGCTATGATGTCACCACTGCACTCTACCCAAGATGACAGAGCAAGATTCCATTGCAAAAAAAAAGTGAACTGAAGAATAAATGAGTTATAAGGAAGTAGAGAAATATGAAGGCAACTCTATTAAGAAGTTTGGCTATGATATTCAGCAGAGAAATAGGATAGCTCTAGGGAGGGGTTTTTATTTTTAAGATAGGAGACATTAGGGCATGTTGGCTTGTTGATAGCATTGACACAATGAAGAGAGGAGTCTGGAGATGGAGGAAAGAGAGCAGGTAAGCAAAGAAGGGATAATCCTGGAAAGATGAGAGATGATGGGGTTTAGGGTATATATGGAAGCAATATGTATTCTAACAGAAAAACGGCCAAGGTCTCTTCAGATTTAGTAAAAGGCATACAACCTCCAGCTTAAGAAAAACTAACTGAGGCTCAAACAATATAAAAATAATCTACACTTATATAGATTACAGTGAAATTGCAGAATACAAAAAGACAAAGCAGAAGCCTAGAAACCAGATAACCTCCAGAAGAATAGCAATTAGAGTAAAAACAGACATTTTCTCAGCAAAAAAAAAAAAGAGAGCAATTAAGGAACGATTTCATCAAAGTGCTCAGAGAGAAATGTTTCCAACCTAACTTTTATAGCCAGCTAGTTATCATCCAAGAAGCAAAGGTGAAATAAAGATATTTTCAGACAAATGCCAGGAGTTTCCACTCACAGATCCTCAAAGAAATACTACTACATACTTCAATGAGGTGCAAATTAAACCTATGAGGATGGAACAGGATTCAAGGAGCAAAGGTAAGCATGAAAACTGGTAACTTGAGTCATTTAGTTAAGCCCTATGTGCATAAAACAGCAAGAAGATGACTAATTTTAGGGGACTTAAAAACTGAATGAAAACCGACATGGAAGATTGAAGGGGATGAAGAGAGTTAAGGCATTTTGATGATCTGGGGAATGTAAGAA